CAAGAAGTCAACTCGCGGGGGCTTAGTTGACCTACAGCTTATCTCGGAGACGTCACCCGACTACAAAATGCCGTCATGTTTGTAAACACGACGTCACGGTACTTTTGTTTTAGCCAATTTGTCGTTTCTTGGTTCCACCTTCAACAGTCTCACTGTTTAAGAGAATATGTTGCAGTACCAAGTTTACCACATAACATACACCACACAACTTCATATTACCCCACAACATGCACCAAACAGCATACACACCAACATACACCAACACAGCAGCAGCAGCAGGAACAGCAGCAGCAGCAGCAGCAGCAGGAACAGCAGCAGGAGCAGCAGCAGCAGCAGGAGCAGCAGCAGCAGCAGCAGCAGCAGCAGCAGGAGCAGCAGCAGCAGCAGCAGCAGCAGCAGCAGGAGCAGCAGCAGCAGCAGCAGCAGCAGGAACAGCAGGAACAGCAGCAGGAGCAGCAGCAGCAGCAGGAGCAGCAGGAGCAGCAGGAGCAGCAGCAGGCACAATTACCTCCTCAACTCCCTGTGCAGGTGCCTTGCCTTCCTCATCAACAAGGGAACGACCTCGTTAAGACGTCGGCAGTTGCTTCCGTGTCTCCCGCGACGCCCATGTCTGCTTCTTCAGTGATACCGCTTCATGAATTTGGTGTTGGACTCCGGACCTATCACCCCTTCGGAGGGTTATTAAGGTCATACAACTATATCCTGTTTACCAAACAGTTTAGTCAAGACATAAAACATAGTTCAAGACAGAGGTAAACTTTCAGTGTACACAGATACACCGAGAAGCAGAGTATACCTGCTCCACTGTGTGTCTATGAAATCATCTTAGTTCTTCCAAGAACATCACTGTCTCACTAACCTGTCGAACCACTAACCAAGTTAGTGGTTCGTGTGTGTGTGTGTGTGTGTGTGTGTGTGTGTGTGTGTGTGTGTGTGTGTGTGTGTGTGTGTGTGTGTGTGTGTGTGTGTGTGTGTGTAGAAAGGTGTTCATGGTGTTAGGAATATGACCGATCACACCAGTATTCACAGTCACCAGTAGTCGTGTCCGGGGCATGTCTCCCACTCTTGTGTGTGGGGCAAAGCGTGTATCCAGTTTTGATGCCTGATCCACTCTTCCTCCGACGTCAACCTCCAGTCTTCCACTGACGTCAACTTCGTGCCTTCCTTCGACGTCAACCTCGAGTCTTCCGCTGACGTCAACGCCGAGCCTTCCTCAGACATCAATACCATGAACACACTGGGATGACATTAATCTTGCAATATAACATGCGTCAGTGAGACCCGAGTCGAGACCTCTTGGCCTTTGATAAAAAGTAGGAAAGCGCTGATGCTGTAAACGCTGATGCTGCAGGAGGCGCTGATGCTGTAAACGCTGATGCTGTAAACGCTGATGCTGCAGGAGGCGCTGATGCTGTAAACGCTGATGCTGCAGGAGGCGCTGATGCTGTAAACGCTGATGCTGCAGGAGGCGCTGATGCTGTAAACGCTGATGCTGCAGGAGGCGCTGATGTTGAAAACGCTGATGCTGCAGGAGGCGCTGATGCTGTAAACGCTGATGCTGCAGGAGGCGCTGATGCTGTAAACGCTGATGCTGCAGGAGGCGCTGATGTTGAAAACGCTGATGCTGCAGGAGGCGCTGATGCTGCAAGAGGGGAACCCGATGCGAATTCTCCCCATTGGTTTTATTGAATTTACATAGCAATCAGTGTATGGTGCAGCCTCTCACCCCCTTCCCCTCTTAGAGCCTTCCCCTCCATCCCTTCCCCTCTTAGAGCCTTCTTAGAGAGATAGAAGAGGGGGGAGGAGGAGGGAAGGTTGCCTGTGGTCTAGCGGAGAACGTCTTCGAAAAACAGCCGTGAGACCTGGGGTCGATTCCCGGCCGGGGGTAGAAACAGTTAAGCAGCGTTTCCGTTCACCTCATGCCTCTTTTTTCACGTATCAGTAGATAGATACTGGGGGAGTTAGACAACTATTGTGGGTCTGCACTCTGAGGCTAGTTAGTAGTTGACCTAGTTGGTGGTTGCTAACTAGGACATAGCTGGATCACCTTGACAGTAGCACCCACCCCCCACATGTGTCCCGTGTAGGAAGAGGAGCCTTCCGGATACACAGTCTCGTCCTCCACCATCTGACACACACACACACACACACACTCTCGCACACACACACACACACACACACACACACGCACGCATATACTCACCCTGGGAGAAATCCCTGGAGGGTTATCTAGGGAACCAATCAGTAACAGTCCGCCTGTGTTCACTCAGCATCAACTGAAAACCTGGGAGTAAAACCAATTCACAGATCGTGTTCCAGGGGAACACATGTATTGTAAGGCTATAAAGCTCTCAGCCTGCGACCAGGGGATCAGATTGCCTCTACTCCTGTACCACCCGTGTACATGATAGAGAAGAGAGAAGATTAAAGAGAATGGGGAGAGAGAAAGTGGGGAGAAAAAGAGGAGAATGGGAGGGGGGGGGGGGGGGGAGGAGGAGACCGATACACAGAGACACAGAGAGACACAGACACTGTGAGCGTGTTATGAGCAAGACAAAAGGGGTTCTCACCTGTGTGGAGCTTTAGTGCACTTGACCTTTCTGAATGAAATGCCACACCGACATTTAACTCTATGATCATTAATCGTCTAGAATAATTTAGTATAATTTCTAACATTTAAAAAAGTATATGTTAATAGTAAAAGGCCTTGGAAAAGGTGTACAGAGCATCGGAAATGGTATACAGGGCATTGGGAAAAGTTGAATAGGACATTAGAAAAGGTACACATGGAATAGGAAAAGGTGCACAGAACATCGAAAAAAGTTGTACACGTTTTCCTTAAAATGTACACCCCCCCCCTCATGAAAGTAGAGATATGACAGGAATACACAAACCCACAAAAGTGAACAAAAAGACCCAAAAGTGCGCACATAAATTACTTAAAAACAAAAGCGTGAACACTTTCAATCATTCTTATGTAGAAAAGATTTACACAACACGTAATTCCTCTTAAACCTTCGCATCATTTAAATACAATGCTATATGTAAATTCCTAACATGTTCCTTAATCTATGAGGGAACGCACATACATGTGTGTGTGTGTGTGTGTGTGTGTGTGTGTGTGTGTGTGTGTGTGTGTGTGTGTGTGTGTGTGTGTGTGTGTGTGTGTGTGTGTGTATTTTTTATTTGTATTTATTATTTGTGTCTGCAGAATCGAGCTAGTAGCTCTTGGACCCCGCCTTTCTAACCAATCTATTTTTCCTCTATTATATCTACTACATAATTTCTCTCTAATACACGCGCGCACACACACATTCCCAGGAAGCAGCAGCCCGTAGCTGCTGTCTAACTCCTAGGTACCTATTTACTGCTAGGTAACAGGGGCATCATGGTAAAAGAAACTCTGTCCATATGTTTCCGCCTCGGCTGGGAGTCGAACCCGGGCCCTTAGGACTACGACACCCAAGAGCTGTCCATTCAGCCCCCGAGTCCCCCCCCAGCCTCTCTCTCTCTCTCTCTCTCTCTCTCTCTCTCTCTCTCTCTCTCTCTCTCTCTCTCTCTCTCTCTCTCTCACACACACACACACACACACACACACACACACACACACACACACACATACATACAAAGGGGCCAGGCGGGACCAAAGAGACAAAGCTCAACCCCCGGCAAGCACAACTAGGCGACTACAACTAGGCGAGTACATTCCAGCACACTAGGCAGGAAGGCTCTCGATTCCATTTACAATATTCAGATTCCAGGTTCGATTCCATTTACCCACTCAATGGATCGAGGTCTCCAGGGAATGGTTGATTGGCATCACTGGGATTCCTTAGGAAAACTGTATTGGTAATACTGCTTCTGATATTTTGCAGAGTTGATGGCAGAGTTTGTTTGTTTGCTTGTTTGTTGATTACATTAATTTGACTGTTGCTATTGCTTCGGTTTATGTTAATGTAATTGAAATTATTATTACTCTCATAATTACTACTTGTACTGTTAATATTATAGTTAATATTTAATGCGAAATTGAAGAAATGGGGAAAGGGGATGGATAGAGGGGGATAGATGAGGGGAGGGGAAAGGAGGGAGGGGAAAATAGAATGGGGAAATACGTAGGAGGGGAAGGGAAGAAGTGAGAGTGAGAAGAGGAGTGGTAGATAAGCAGTAGAGAGTAGGTGAGAGAAGGAGAGAGAGGGCGAGAGAGTGAGGGAGAGAGAGAATACCCCTCATAAAGCCATATATATTAATCTGTCAACTGTCTTGCCAGTAAGCAATAGCTGCTTGTTGCATCAGGTGAGACATTATATATATATATATATATATATATATATATATATATATATATATATATATATATATATATATGACATTATTATATCTATTCAGACAAGTCTATTCACAAGTCGTGAATTTTTATTCATTCACCGACTACATTTCCTTAAATGTAAGAGAGTTCTAGCTATTGGTGGACCTCTATTTGACCTATTTTTTTTTTTACATCTCTAACGAATGTATTTGTACGATTTTCCATCAATAGCGAATGTATTTTATGTTATATTGTTTTATATCACGAATTGGTTTGGTTTTGGACTTCAGGCCTATCAACGTCTGAAGGGTTGAACATAGTCTAGGGTTAAAAGTAAACTCGTAGTGTATATACACCGGGAAGAAAGGGTAACTCGCGATGTGTATATATATATATATATATATATATATATATATTTACTTATGGCAATCATTTCCACAATATATATGATAAATTTAATTATTTATATAATCTGTTGAAATTATACGAACAGTTCAGTTTATGTTATAAGGGCATCATACCTTGCGATGATTTCGGGGCTCAACGTCCCCGCGGCCCGGTCCTCGACCAGGCATACATACATTTATTTTGTTTACATAATTATGCAAATATGCTTAACAAAATAATAATAGTGTGACGATAGATAAGCGCATCACTACAAGTACCACACAAGAAGGTTGAACCAACTTACCTATCAGCTCAAACAAGTGCTTCGACACTTGCCCCACGAAATCTTCACAGTTTTGATCGACACGAACGCGCTATCGTGCCAATGTCACATATCACTGCTAATAACAATAGATCACTGCAGCAAAAGGTTAAAAAATCGGCTTGAAATATTTTAGGGAGATGTGCGTCAAGCGGTGGAGAGCCACAGCCGTGTTGTTGTGCGTCGTCGTCGTCCTGAGCGACTGACGCAGGTGTCGTCTCTGGGCCTCCCACCTCGCCACTGTCGAACGCTGAATCTTATTTACAATTATTTTCCCGATAAAAAAATATATATTTTTACTTATTTTACAATCGATAATTTGTTATAAGGTGTAATTAATGTTTTGGTATTGTTATACAGTCGAAATCCTACTGGGTGATGGGTGAAATATTGATATAAATTTCTAGCTTGCAACTCATCCTACACAGGTGGCACTAGTGATAGACTGTTTATCATTATTCAGAGAAAATGGGTAACGTTAGAGAAAACGTGCACTTGTGTTTTCACCTTCTCTAAGTAATGGAGCAGTCGCTCTTCTGAGAATTTAATGATATTGTCTATTGGTCACTCCATTCCAGTCATCATGTGGAATGGAGCAACACACTCCTACGTTTTCCCGTTTTCAAGAACCGTCTGGATGTGGAGTTTAAATTTTCAACTCGGTATAACATTTATATTTTTATTTTCGAGGAAATGCGCTGTTGCAAGTGGGCAACTTTGCATTTGCAATGATCTTTTCAATAAATAAATACACTTACTCTTCAAAACGCCTATTAATTAACATTTTAACCAGTTTAAAATATAATTCCAGTGCCACAGGGGTGCGCATGTGTCCCCTTGTATATAATTGGGGTACCTATTGCATCTGTTCCAGTCAACAACTGCGTACCTAGTTGACGAAGTTGACACGTGTCTGTCAACCGCCAGTGCACCTGTATCAACACCTGCATACGATCGCTTTGGAAAATAATTTACATGGGAGCAGTGTTGCTTGAAACACAGATGGGGAAATGCTTCACCTGGGTAAGGAATCTTATGAAACATCGTTCAACTAGTGGTTGAAAATGCAGTTCATAGTTATTATACAAAATTTAACTCGCCATAAAATTCATGTATATTTGCAATGTGGGTGTAGCTAAAGAATAATACAATATTCTAAATTTAATGGCAATCAAAACGAGACTAATATCCTAAGCTAATATAACGAACTCTTTTTGGGTAAGGAATGTATATAGTTCTATATAGTTAGAAGTATACCCTGCTTTTCTGTGTATATAAACTGTGAGTTTACTTTAGTCCTGAACTATGTTCAGGCACAGTATAGTTGCTGATTGGTCAGAATAAACTGTTGTGGTGGCTTTAATAACCCTTCAGAGGCTGATAGGCCTTGAGCCCCCACCTTAAACTAATACAGTAGGCTAATTAGCATATACAACAAATTGCAAGGGGTAAAAAACTTACAGTTTAGGAAGCAAGTGTTCAGTAGGTATGTTCACATGAACATTTATGTATCTCTCCAGGACTATATGAGTACCTTGAACACATAGACAGATCATCCCGTTCTCTAGAGTTACCACAACCGACAGAAAATAATGTACTAAAACGAACCTAATCTATCCTAATCTAACGTAACACAACTAACTTATGGAACATCTAACATTCATCTAACTTATGGAACACAAACACAGAAAATGTTAATGTTTGTGTCCCGCTGTGATCTATAGTACCTCTTTATTTGTCTGTTTTGTATTTTGACGTCAAAAGGCTCTCACAATGCACTTTATAAGAGGACGACTTCTATAGATAAACAGTCCACTTTTTTACATTTGAAAGATGTAAATATACACGTAAAAAAAAAGAAAGCGTTAAAATCCTAATACAACAAGAACGTAGCCTATTTAGGCCTAACAAAATGTATCATGCTCTTAACATAATGTATATTTGAACTACATTAGGCTTATGATTCCTGATGTCAGAGACAGGAAGCCTGTGCTTAGTGTGTGACACGACGACGCAGACCACTGTGCTACATGATCCACATGAAAGGGTAGCTTCTAGGGCAAGAAGCTAACCTTACATATGGACTTAACTTCTCTAGTTAAGTCCATATGTAAGTTAAGCTGCCCTATGTAAGCTTAAGTTCATATGTAAGTTTAGTTAGTTAAGCTTCCAAAGGCTTCCACTGCCTTTGTTTTCATCTATTTATTAATACTTTGATAAGTAAAACACAAATAAAGAGATCCCACTTTATTGACTTCAGACACAGCAGCTATAGTAATGAGGCTTTTACTACCAGTATCCGGGATTCTGGTTAAAGATACTCTAAGAGGTCTTTATGTAATTACAATACAGCAGAAAAGTAGCAGTGATTGTCAGGAATTTAGATTAGTATCTTCAACGAAATTATATATATATAATTTAATAGCTTAATATACAGTGACATGCTTAAGAAAGAATTATTAAACATTGAACTTGGAAACGAACATTTGTTGCAATAAAATGTTCGAATTTAAATCAAGAATACTGTACAGGGAATCCATATGACAAAAGGAGGTGAATATAACTAGCAAGATGTAGGGCTGGGTCAGGTCACAGTCCTTAGAGACGGTGTGGATACCTTGGAGAAACTGTGTATGCACATACGACAATGTAGATGATCATTGGAAACTAGGTATATACATACTTAAAGACAAACACATATATACATAGGGTCTCACACACACACACACACGCACAAAGAGGAGCACAACAAGAGGCTACAGGATAACCTGGACAGATTGAAGGAATGGTCCAACATATGGCTACTAGAGTTTAACTCGAGCAAGTGCAAAGCGATGAAGATAGGTGTAGGGAGCAGGAGGCCGAACACAAGGTACCAGCTGGAAGAGGCAATCCTTCAGGAGTCAAGACGAGAGAAAGATCTGGGGGTTGATATCACACCAGACCTGTCCCCTGAAGCACAAATCAAAAGGATAACATCAACGGCGTATGCAAGGCTGGCGAACGTAAGAGCTGCCTTCAGAAACTTGTGTAAGGAATAATTCAGAACCTTGTATACCTCATATGTCAGACCAATGCTGGAATATGGGGGCTCCAGCCTGGAGTCCACATCTAGTCAAACACAAAAAGAAGTTAGAAAAGGTTCAGAGGTAATCCACCAGGCTAGTCCCCGAGCTGAGAGGAATGAGCTATGAGGAAAGATTACTGGAACTGAACTTCACGACTCTGGAAGACAGAAGAGTTAAAGGAGACAATATCACTACCTACAAATTTCTCAGAGGAATTCACAGGGTATATGTACCAAAATGAGCCATAGGGACGTTAGAAATAAGGTTTTCAGTGTCAGATTAGTAAACAGATGGAATACATTAGGCAGTGATGTGGTGGAGGCTGACTTCATACACAGTTTCAAATGTAGATATAATAGAGCCCAGTAGGCTCAGGAATCTGTACTCCAATAATAAATAAGGATTTAATACACTAATCTTCACATAGATGTATTCTGCGCCTCTGTAGGCATTAAGCAGGTAGGTAACATAAGTAAGCGTCTATCCGGGAATTAAGCAAGTAGGTAATTATCAAAATATGGCGCAAAGGCGGGAAGACTATGTAGCAATCTGTTGCTGGATACTCAAAATGCGCTAAATATCACTCAGGCTGTTAATACGAGAACAAAAAGACATATGACAAGGACATCAAAAGTATCCTATTCACCAAGGATTCTATCGAGAGGCAAGCGACCCGGCTCCTCTGGAGGAAGTGCCAATGTAAGATTGTTAAGAGTAATTGTGATGCCATAATAAGATGTTGGTGGAAACTTCACTGACACTTCGAATTCTCAGAATTGAGGAGGGATTTTCTTGGCGCCTGGAATATGTAAATTAATTGCGAGGATGCCTGGTTGGGGACCGGGCCGTCGGGACGTTGAGCCCCGAAACAAGGGCGGTCATTCCGTTAACACACTGTCCTTCCAAACAGAAGCTAGGAGTGAATTCCATTCACCAGAGCTGTATGGGACTCAACCCATGGACCCTACGCTTGTGAGGCCGAAGTTCTATCGACTGGACTATGAGATATTTTATAGATGATGTACATTTTTGCAATGAGGAGAGAGCTCAAGAAATGCATTACTCGCCCATTAACCTGTAAGAATTTGCAAAATGTGGCAATGAAATATCAGGAGATATTTGGCAAAGGTAAACTTTGCCCAAATGCACAATGTACAAGAGTTTGTATATTTTTCTACAACCATCCCGTTCTCACTTGGCCTGTTACCTTTGATTTACCTGCAGGGCTTGGCTCGGGAGTCCTTCCTCTTGTTTCGCTAGGTGTCGGGGAAAGGTTATACCGATGTATTTCCAACTCTTCCTTGAACACAGGACTCGTGACCACGGGGTCCTGTGAAACGCTAGTAGGAGAACTCCTGGGTTTGCTTGGTGGTGAAGCAATCGGCTTCTTGGTTGGAGTTTGAACGATCGGTTTTGGCAGAGGCATCTTTTCAGAGCTGTCTGCAAACTGAACCATTTGTTTAGGTAGAGGCTTCTCGTCTGGGCTGTCTGCAAACTGAACCATTTGTTTAGGTAGAGGCTTCTCGTCTGGGCTGTCTGCAAACTGAACCATTTGTTTGGGTGAGGGCTTCTCGGTTGAGCTGGCTGGAATTTGAACGATTTGTTTTGGGTGGAGATCGGCTGAACTGGGCGGAATCCTTGCTGGAAGTCCTGGCCTGTTGGAATCTTCAACTCCTTTGCTGGCTGGAATTTGGATTATTTGTTTGGGTGGAATTTTATCGGTTGAACTGGACGGAATCCTTGCTGGAAGCCCTTGCCTGTTGGAATCTTGGAATCTTGGACTGGCTGAAATTTTGGTTATTTGTTTGGGTGGAATTTTATCGGCTGAACTAGAAGGAGTTTGAATGATCAGTCTGGGCAAAGGTTTGTCGACTGGTGTGCTTTCAAATTTAACTATCTGTTTGGGTGGTGGCTTGGTGCGAGGTGGAGGGAGGAGCTGTGTATCTTGCTGGAAGGCTTTTGGTACTGCTAACTTTCCAGGTGCCCGTCTTGGCGGCGCTGAAGGATCAATGTTTGAAGGGTGAAGGGGAAAGCTGCCTTCTTGGGGCTTAGTAGGATAAATAAGCTTAGAAGCCTGGCTAGCAGGGGAGCTAGAACCCTGACTTAAGAGAGGCTTCAGGTCTTGAGTCATAGGAGGCTTTGAGGCCTGAGTTGTATGAGGCTGCAGGTCTTGAGTCGTAGGAAGTTTTGGGGCCTGAATTGTGGGAGGCTTTGGGGCCTGAGTTGTGGGAGGCTGCATGTCTTGAGTTGTAGGAGGCTTTGGGGCCTGAGTTGTGGGAGGCTGCATGTCTTGAATTGTAGGAGGCTTTGGGGCCTGAATTGTGGGAGGCTCCATGTCTTGAGTTGTGGGAGGTTCGATGTCCTGACTTTTGTCGGCAAGCTTGGAGTCCTGGCCTGTAGAAGGCTTGGATTCTTGGCTTGTGGCAGATTTTGGTGCTGACTTGTCTAGAGTCTTGGAAACTTCGTCAGGCTTTGGCTTAGAGGCTGGAACCAGCTTCGGAGTACTATCCGGACTTGTGACTACTGGAGCTTGAGGAGATGGTGATCTTGATACAAAAGGCTTACCTGCTTTCTGCTCCATCTCCTCAGCCTTCAATTTCAGGTTCGCTGCTCCGGCCTTCTCTTGAGTGACCGCCTTTTTCTCCTTGGCCAGCTCCTTTTCCTTCTCCTTCTTGAGGGTATTGACCTTAAATCTGGCATAGGCGATGCGTGTGGTAGGAGTGTGGACCTCCAGGTTGGGATTGTATTCTGCAATCATTTCCGGATTGAGGGACTTCAAGAGCATTTCGTTCTCGTATTGTATGCGCCTCTTGATGGACGACTGCGACCTCTTGATGCTGGTCTCTGAGGAACCGATCTGATCCCGTCGCATGGAGGCGCGTGAGACCTTGGCGTTCCAATCCTCCTTCTTCTTCTTGCCGATGGCACGGGCCAGCTTCCCGAAGATGTTCGTGGGTTTCTTTTCGCTGGTGAGGATCTCGTTGATGATTCCTTCCACCAGCCCGATGTTGAAGCCCTTCATGAGGCGTCGTTCCATAGCTCGACCCTTCTTGCCAATCACAGCTGAAAGCAAACTCATCGCCTCAGTTCTTGGACCTTAATCAGTTCCCGAGGCAAAAACTTCTAGTCAGTTTAACTAATCACTAATAAATAATGAACATACATTAATTAATAAAGTTTTATGTAATAGCTATGACGGGAGTTGGTTAAGGCATAAATATTGTTTGAAGTCATTTATTTACATTTTTTATTTTTATTTTTAGACTTGACCTCTTGAACGCCGGCCTAAAGTGTTCATAATATACCACACATGATATTACTTACTCTTGCCTTTGTCAGGCATTACTGTTCGTGCAACGTGTACCAACTTACACAAGCAACCAGCCACATTCCTCGTCCTAGCATCCAGCCACATCTCTTTTCCCAACAACAAGCCACAGCTCTTGTCTGTGAATGTGGCAACCAGCCACAGTCCCTGTCCTAGAAGCAAGCCACATTTAGCGTCCTAACAGCCAGCCATCTATTTTGTCCAAGCACCTAGCCACATCTCCCGTCGAAGCATCAAGCCACATCTCTTGTCCTAAGACCCAACCATATCTCTTATCTCAGTAACCAGCCATATCACATACTATGAGGACCGAGCTCTCATATCACAAGAACAAATAGATATTTTAGCATATACTCACAGGCTTCCTCAGCGCTGACCATTGACGTGTTCATTCCGTTGTTCTTCAGAATGTCAATCAATTCATATCTGCAATATAAGAAAATGATGTAAATAGAACCAGCTGGAGTTTAAATATCACCAGCTGGAAGAACTTCTGAGAAGAACGTCTCAAAGAGTGTCTCCAGCGTGTCCCGTCGCCTGTCATTTATGTATTTAAACAACTACTTATAAATGCTATATGAGACATGGTAGTTAAATATTGTTCAACTGAAATACTGATATATTTCAACGAAAATGAAAGGCAGCTTGACAGCCAGATATGTTAGCCAACTGGACAGCCAAGCCAACCATTAAACCAGCCATATAGTCAACCAATTATCCAACCATCTAGTCAACAAGCCAGCTAACCAGGTCGTCAATCACACAACCATCCAGCTATAAACAGCCAATCAACCAGCCAGTCAGCCATCCAAACAGTCAATCAACCAGCCAGTCAGCCATCCAAACAGTCAAGCAAGCAAGCAAGTAAGCAACCAACCAACCAGCCAACCATCCAACCAACCAGCCAACCAGCCAACCAGCCACCCAACCATCCAGAATCCGTCCCTAGAGAACCTACCTGAAGGTGGATATGTCCTGCTTGACTTCATTGATGTCGTCCTCATTGACGCCTCTCTCGTCCGCCTTCCTCTGCTGCTCGGTGATGTAGCGACGGACGAGCAGCCGCATCACGTTCATATGTCGCTGTTCCGCTATCTTCTTGGACTGTGGGAGGAAGTAGCAGTCACGCAGGAGACCGGACCTCAACACGCAAGTAACAGCTAAAAACCGGAACTCAACACGCAAGTAACAGCTAGAAACCGGATCTCAACACTCAAGTAACAGTTAAAAACCGGAACTCAACACGCAAGTAACAGTTAAAAACCGGACCTCAACACGCAAGTAACAGTTAAAAACCGGACCTCAACACGCAAGTAACAGTTAAAAACCGGACCTCAACACGCAAGTAACAGTTAAAAACCAGATCTCAACACACAAGTAACAATTAAAAACCGGAACTCAACACGCAAGTAACAGCTAGAGACCAGGCCGTAACAGCCAGAGGCATTTAAACGAGGTATAACGAATGTTTACCTTCGACATAAGAATAATTAAAAATACAATATTAACGTTAATAATAATAATAATAATAATAATAATAATAATAATAATAATAATAATAATAATATATTTTAAAATACAAGCAAATTGATATAATTAGGTAGATAATATATAAGTAGGGAGATAGGGAGATTGAAAGAGAGAGAGAGAGAGAGAGAGAGAGAGAGAGAGAGAGAGAGAGAGAGAGAGAGAGAGAGAGAGAGAGAGAGAGAGAGAGAGAGAGAGAGAGAGAGAGAGAGAGAGAGAGAGAGAGAGAGAGAGAGAGAGAGACCCTCACCTTGACCTTGAAGGACCTCCTGAGCTTCACCTGACCCAGGCCCATCAGCTTGAGGACGCTCTTGGGGGAAGGGATGACGTTGAAGGGCGGAGGCACGGTGCCGCCGCCCTCGAAGTAACTCAGCCACAGCTTCGTCCTGGCGAACTTCCACTCAGCGTCGGAGCGTTCCTGTTGTAGGTCGTCATCACAGTAGGTAAGCATTAAACTTTATGTCCTCCTCGGAAATATGGGAAATTATTAGCACATATAATTGGATTTGCAGGCGATGAGTCACAGTAACGTGACCAAAGTATGTTGACCAGACCACACACTAGAAGGTGAAGAGACGACGACGTTTCGGTCCGTCCTGGACCATTCTCAAGTCGATTGTGACTTGAGAATGGTCCAGGACGGACCGAAACGTCGTCGTCCCATCACCTTCTAGTGTGTGGTCTGGTCAATATAATTGGATTTGTTGTCCGTGCTGTTTTGCTAATTCCTTCGTGTCTTATTTCCTTTATTTTTTTATCTATCTGTTTGAAAAGGGAAGCGAATGAATAACCGGATAGCAATTAAGAGTACAACGTAGAAACAGAAAGTACCCACCGAAATGATGTTATAGGAGTTTGACATCATAGCAATAAGGAGATTGAGTAGGACGATAACATTGATCACCGAGTACGACCCAAACATCAACAACGCCCAGAACCTGGTGAAGCTTCCCACGCCAGTCAGATCGAACGAGTCCAAATCCACGAGCCCGAACGAGGCCCAGAAGAGCGACTGTGACGTCTCAAATAAGCTGTACAGATTAGACAAAATAAGTAACGGTTTTACTCAATTATTATTTACTCAATTATTTGTGGCTAAACTTCTCTCGATTAAGTAAATACTTTTATTCACACAACTTCCTCACGAACTATATGTTGCTGGATTTGTTCTTTTATCGTTATTTTCTCCCGCCCCTCTATACCTCTGACGATGCTAAATTGCTTTGGCGGAACACCTTATTAAGAGGGTAAAAATGAACGTTGGAGAATTCGTCTTTTAACTTTGGAAGTAAAGAAAAAAATAGAAATATAGAAAAGATTCCTGCCAGGAACATTGATATACTCCTTTGTGTCCCATTTAATAACACACTCACACACCCATTCACACACACACACATGAATGAAACGACTACTACTACAACGACTACTACTACTACAACGACTACTACTACTACAACGACTACTACTACTACAACATCTACAATAACAACAAGCCCCACGCCTATTACAACCACTACGGAAGCTACCACCCCTGACCCTACACACACACACACACACACACACACACACACACACACACACACACACACACACACACACACACACACACACACACACACACACACACACACACACACACACACACACACACACACGAACCACTAACTTTGTCCACCGTCGCCAGATAAAACAGGCTTGGCTCTCCTTGTCCCGGTCCGGGAGACCTCCCGGCAGATGGTAGCATCGCTTCATCTCCAGCTCAGCGTAGTACCACATCAGCTGGTTCATACCTGCGACAAGTACCACCAGTACCACCATTACAATCATACGAAAAAGTCTCGCTAAACTGGTTGTTAATGGCGTTTTATTCAGGTAAGAGATGTGTGTACCTTTAAAAAAGAGTTTAATTAAGATAAGAGGAGTACACTTTTAATACAGCTGTATTAAGGTATGAAATGTATACCTTTTCCAGAGTTGTATTAAGGAAAGCGACGTGTGACCCTTTTTAGGGAAAATTACGAGCCAGGTGGTAATAAAGGAACAAAATATATACATTTTCCACCAGCTCAAAAGTTTACACAACTCGAGAACCGAAATTATGCCATGAAGATATTAAAGTAAACAATGGGACTGTGGAGGGAGGAAAGGGAGAAAGGTGAAGGAATAGAGGTGAAGAGAGGAAAGAGAAGGAGGGAGGGAGAGAGGGAGAGAGGGAGAGAGAGAGAGAGAGAGAGAGAGAGAGAGAGAGAGAGAGAGAGAGAGAGAGAGAGAGAGAGAGAGAGAGAGAGAGAGAGAGAGAGAGAGAGATATGAAGGAAGAACAGGAGGATGCAGGAAGAAAGGTGAAGAAAGAGAGATAAAGGGAGAACGAAATATAATAGAGATATGACCATCACTCACTTACGGGCTCACCATAGCCTGTGCTACATAGATATTTTGGCCATCACTACGGGCTCACTATAGCCAATGCTACACGGACACTTCGTTCTGAGTAACTAAATCTAAAACAACAACATCACTCACCACAGCCGAAGGCGAAGAGGACGAGGGTGTACAGGAAGAAGAACTTGAGAATATCGAAGATCATGCGGCCGAGGGAGATCTGCAGTGGCCCCAAGTGCGGGTTCACGCTGAAGATGTGCACCAGCTTCAGGAAGCTGTGGATGAGAGGGATGTGTTAGTGGGTGGAGGATAAGAGTGTGTCTTGAATACATCAGGTGCGTAGACATTTTGTGGTAGAGACTCATTAACTGTATGAAGAGTGTGTTGTGGCAAGCCAACACAGAGAACAAATATTGTGCTTGGGTCGTAGCAGTGACCATATTAGATATTTTGATACACTGACAAAACCCAGCGTTTGGCAGTGTCAGGGAAATGGCAGAATATGTTAAATCAGAAATGAATCTGACACGATACTGTACGAGCCATAGCAACTCGGTCAGTATAGCCCCTCACATGTATCCTCATTCGCACCTTAAGATCATGGCCGCGCCGAAACAGCCCTCAGAGATGAGGAGCGGATCGAAGGGATGCCAAGTCTCCCGCGGGTAGTAGGGCCAAATGCCGGCCCAGAGGTCCCTCTGCACGAGAATCCAGGAGGTGGTCCTCATCAGGATCCACGTCATGAAGAACATGTTGGTTATGTAGTCGATGATGTTCCACAGGTCTTGCACGTACTCCAGTAAACCATCGCCCCACAACGACTTCATCTCGGCCCATATCAAGCCTGCCAAAATGGGTCAAGACTATTAAAGACTATTATATTTACTCAGGCCAGGTTATTGCGATCTTTCCTTATTGAAGGGAGGAGGCATAGTTATCATAGTTTGCTAATTACCATAATACATATGAATCCCATGTAAGGGATGGGGGGTGGGGTGAGGGGGGAATACATATGTGAGAGTCTCATGTGACTTACTGAAGACGTACATAATGATAGCCAGTTCAACGATGCCTGGAAGAGAGCCTCTCTCCTTCAGCTTCCAGTCTTCTAAAAGGGATCGAAGCCAGGGGTTACCGAACCATTCAATGAATAGATACTCGATCCTCTGAGACGCCAGGGCCAGCAGCACTAGAGAGAGGGGGGGGGGAGGAGGGGAGGAGGGGGAGGAGGGGTAAGAAAACACATTTTGCAAATTAGGTTTTGGTGGCAAGAGGGAGCTGCTCGTGTCTAAGATCAGACGTCACAAATTACTTGGGTGTTCACTTACGACACCTGTGGATCTTTCCTCGATCTTGGCGGTGATCTAAGTGTGTATTTATTAAACCTAGGCCGCCATGAATGAGGAAAGATGCACAGGCTTCGTAAGTGAACACATAAGTGATATGGAGAATCTTGATCCACTTCCGGACAGTCACACCTGAGATATTACTCTAGAAACTGATAACATTTTCTAGATTTATTGCAAGAAGAACATTAATAGTTAAAACGTGGTAATAACTTGAATTTGTTTCTAAAAAAATCATTTCTTAATATGCAGACAATTTATCTTTGAAAACATTACGTATGTAACCCCCATCTCCTTCTTACTTAAACCTCTCTCTTTCTCTCTCTCTCTCTCTCTCTCTCTCTCTCTCTCTCTCTCTCTCTCTCTCTCTCTCTCTCTCTCTCTCTCTCTCTCTCTCTCTCTCTCTCTCTCTCTCTCTCTCTCTCTCTCTCTCCCCCCCCAACTCACTTAAGAAAAACATGTAGGAGGCACAATGGGTGATGAACTTAACGAAAGGCTTCTTGACGAAGTTCCCCTTCTCGGATTTCGGGAAGAAGATGTAGGCGAAGGAGAGGATGGGGAACATGCAAGCCAGCTTGGCCACCTCTATGCACTGCCCCATCATGTCCTTGCGACGGAATCCGGGCAGTCCGTCGTACCAGATGGCGCCCAGGAGCTGCTGCACGTTCGGGTGCGTGACGAACTGGCGGTAAAATGTGCATTTCTGTAGATTAGCGTTGATATGGGAGGTAGGATTAGTCAGGCTGTATGTTTGGGGAAGAATAATAGCTCTCGCTTCCACACACACACACACATACCGATTTTTGAGAGAACTTGATGGCCATTTTGAGTCTTTCCAAGGAATTGACCTCTCCCTCTTCCCACACGAGGCCCTCGGGGTCATAGTTGAGCATTATGGAAAGTTCAGACCTTGTCCTCGTCTGATCCAACAGCTCAGACGCGAACTTCATCACTTTCCTGCGAAGCTCCTGACAGCAAAGAGAGAAAGATGGGAAATGAGAGCTAGAAAGGAAGCAATAGAGAGAGAGAAAAAAGCACAAATGAAAATGAGAACACGAGAGACGAGGTGAGAGCGAAAGACTGATGAGAACGCAAGAGAGAGCAAAAGAGGAAACTAAGACCAGAGAGGAATTACGCTAATATTATTATAATTAGTACAACCATTATGCAGATATCACTTTGAGCAATCAAATACTTGTTGTAATGACTGACATTAACAGCAAATACACAATTAATATCCACATCGTCGTAAAGCAAAAAAATTTCCTTTCTCGTTACGTTCGTTGGATTACATTCAATTATTATTTTTATTATTATTTATTATTATTATTATTATTATTATTATTATTATTATTATTATTATGATTATTATTATTATTATTAATGCTACTTTCGTGACTGCTACTATTCCTACTATTTCTCATACTATTAATTATTACTACTACTACGACTAACCCTGTTAGGAATCATCCACACTGCAACAATTATTACTTGAAGACATATTATGGCTACCCTCCTTAACACTACTATTGTTGCTACTTCTATTACTACCACCACCACTAAAACCACTATTACAACTACTGATATTTTAAAAACTACAATTCCTATTTTTACTACCCTTATAAATCCTACATCTGTTACCCCCCCCCCACTCCTACTTTTAGTACTACCACCACACCAACAATTACTACTACGACTACTACTACCACCTCAACCACCATTAACCCTACTACCACCACACCTACAATTACTACTACGACTACTACTACCACCTCAACCACCATTAACCCTACTACCACCACACCTACAATCACTACAACATCTACATCTACTACTACTACTACTGCCATTACAATCACCATGACTACGTCTACACGCCGCGTACATTATACTCCGTCTTGAACTCGTGTTCCATGCCCTGAAGGCGGCCCAGCTCGCCGGAGAGCTCAAAGGATGTGCGGATGGGGTCCTTGGAGGAGAGGGCGATGAGAGACGGAGACGCCAGGGCCTTGTAGGCATTGATACGGGAGAGGGAGTGCCTCAGGGAGTCCTCCTCGGTAGATATAAGGCACTCGTCACAGCCACATCTGCAACAGGGCCGGGGGCGGCCGTCGGGTGATGGTTGAGAGTGGGTTAAAACAGTGTAATGGTATATTAATTACAGTAATGTTGTAGCGATTAGCTTAAGTGGTAATAGCACTATTATTATTATTATTGTTTTGATTATTGAAGAGACAGTTGCTCCGGAGGGCTGAAACCTCACCTGATATCGTGAGGCATCGGGAGCGTGGCGCCGCGGTCGAGGAGGAGCTTGAGGATCTCGTAGTGGTTGTGGTGAGCTGCGAGAATGAGCGGAGTTATGTCCTTGGTGAAGCTGGCCGTCTCCTTAGGTATACACTCCCAGCTCTGTGGCAGATAGGCAGGTAGGTAGGTAGTGAGTCAGGCAGGCAGGTAGTGAGGCAGGCAGGTAGTGAGGCAGGCAGGTAGTGAGGCAGGCAGGTAGTGAAGCAGGCAGGTAGTGAGGCAGGCAGGTAGTGAGGCAGGCAGGTAGTGAAGCAGGCAGGTAGTGAGGCAGGCAGGTAGTGAGGCAGGCAGGTAGTGAGGCAGGCAGATAGTGAGGCAGGCAGGTAGTGAGGCAGGCAAGTAGTCAGGCAGGCAGGTAGTCAGGCAGGCAGATAGTGAGGCAGGCAGGTAGTGAGGCAGGCAAGTAGTCAGGCAGGCATGTAGTCAGGCAGGCAGATAGTGAGGCAGGCAGGTAGTGAGGCAGGCAAGTAGTCAGGCAGGCAGGTAGTCAGGCAGGCAAGTAGTCAGGCAGGCATGTAGTGAGGCAGGCAGGTAGTGAGGCAGGCAGGTAGTGAGGCAGGCAAGTAGTGAGGCAGGCAGGTAGTGAGGCAGGCAAGTAGTGAGGCAGGCAGGTAGTCAGGCAGGCAAGTAGTGAGGCAGGCAGGTAGTGAGGCAGGCAAGTAGTGAGGCAGGCAGGTAGTGAGGCAGGCAAGTAGTCAGGCAGGCAGGTAGTGAGGCAGGCAGGTAGTGAGGCAGGCAGGTAGTGAGGCAGGCAGGCAGGTAGTGAGGCAGGCAGGTAGTGAGGCAGGCAGGTAGTGAGGCAGGCAGGTAGTGAGGCAGGCAGGTAGTGAGGCAGGCAGGTAGTGAAGCAGGCAGGTAGTGAGGCAGGCAGGTAGTGAGGCAGGCAGGTAGTGAGTCAGGCAGGCAGGTAGTGAGGCAGGCAGGTAGTGAGGCAGGCAGGTAGTGAGGCAGGCAGGTAGTGAGGCAGGCAGGTAGTGAGGCAGGCAGGTAGTGAGGCAGGCAGGCAGGTAGTGAGGCAGGCAGGTAGTGAAGCAGGCAGGTAGTGAGGCAGGCAGGTAGTGAGGCAGGCAGGTAGTGAGGCAGGCAGGCAGGTAGTGAGGCAGGCAGGTAGTGAGGCAGGCAGGCAGGTAGTGAGGCAGGCAGGTAGTGAAGCAGGCAGGTAGTGAGGCAGGCAGGTAGTGAGGCAGGCAGGTAGTGAGGCAGGCAGGCAGGTAGTGAGGCAGGCAGGCAGGTAGTGAGACAGGCAGGTAGTGAGGCAGGCAGGCAGGTAGTGAGGCAGGCAGGTAGTGAAGCAGGCAAGTATAACATGCAAGGTTGGCGGGGACGTAGGGGAGGGCGGGGGAAAAAATCCAAACGAAAAAAAAGGATGAAATGAAATGCGTCACATAAGGGACCAGGAGGATGCAAAGGTGTTGCAGTGGCCCCGGAGGACAGAGGAGGGTGTTACAGAGGTGAGCAAGACATAGTTGCCATGAAACACTTGGTAGGACGTAGTGCAAACCTTCACTTGCTCACAATCACTCGTTCCCGACACACTCACTCATAAATACAAGCACTTGACATCAATTACATTCATACTGCTGGTGAAACACAGCCGGATTCTTATACTTCAAAGGAGAACGCATTTGGTATTACAAAATCTCCAAATAATGTTGTAACAGGTTTGGGAAATGCCTCAAATTATGGAATCGAAACGCCTCCTCGCGGTACATCTTGGGGAGGCTCGAACACCAGAGTGTTCTGGTGTTCAAATGTAAATTATAACGTGAACATATTTATAACAAAGGGAAAGAGTTACTTATCTTTCTCTTTCTCTTCTCTCTCTCCTCTCTCTCTCTCTCTCTCTCTCTCTCTCTCTCTCTCTCTCTCTCTCTCTCGCTCTCTCTCTCTCTCTCTCTCTCTCTCTGTACTCACATATGGCTGGCCTTTCTTATGGTTTTTCTCCTCCCAGGTGAGTAGCATCTCGACTCCTTCTACGTACTCCTCCGAGATGGCATTGAGGAGTGAGTCCTGTAAAAGGAGGACTTGGGTCAGAAAGAATCCCTGCGAATGGCAGGAGCTTGCCCACCCCTTCCCCAGCCCTCAGCTTGCCCACCCTTCCCCTCCCCCAGTTTGCCCACCCCCTTCCCCTTCCTCAGCATGCCCACGTCTTCCCACCCACAATCTCCTCACCCCACCCTTCCACAACCTGCTGCCCCTCCCCATTCACAACCTGCACACCTTTCCCCTCCCGGAATGACATTCGGGTTCCTTCTCGACTCTTGGGCAGGACAGAAATGGATGGGCGCGTTTCCTATCATCCAATGCACCTGTTTACCTAGCAGGAAATAGGTACCCAGGGGTGCGTTAGCTTGTTGTGGGGTTGCATCTTGGGGAGGGTCAGAAGTTCGACCTTGGGGGACCTCGTAATAAGGCTAACATTATATATATATATATATATACACTGGTTGTCTGTCCCTCCGACACATTGAATCTTTATGAATTAACCTGCCACCCGCAACCTGCCCACCCCAATCTGCCCACGCCAGTCTGCCCACCCCAAACCTGCCCACCTCTCGCTTCTCACAACCTACCCACCCCCTTCCCCACCTCTCGCCTCCCACATCCTACCCACCCCCTTCCCCACCTCTCGCCTCCCACAACCACCTACCCCCCCCTTCCCCACCTCTCGCCTCCACATCCTACCCCCCCCCTTCCCACCTCTCGCCTCCCACAAACCTACCCCCCCCTTCCCCACCTCTCGCCTCCCACAACTACCCACCCCTTCCACCACCTCTCGCCTCCCACATCCTACCCACCCCCTTCCCCACCTCTCGCCTCCCACAACCTACCCACCCCCTTCCCCACCTCTCGCCTCCCACATCCTACCCACCCCCTTCCCCACCTCTCGCCTCCCACAACCTACCCCCCCCCCCTTTCCCACCGAGCCCCACACAATCGCACCCCCCCCCCATCACCTTGGGCTTGACGTTGAAGCTGAGCAACAGGTCCATCAGGTCGAGGTTCTCGTTCTCGATGGCGATGGCGAGGGATGAGCGTCCCAGCGGGTCCGTACAGTTGATGTCCAGCTCCTGAGGCTTGTCCTTGAACGTCTCCAGGTGCCTGCAACAGGTTGCAAGCACCTCAGAGCAGCCTCTCACATACGTCTACGTCTGGCCTCTTAACTACGTTACTACAACCTTTCGCTTATGTCTCTATAAAGACTCACAGCCCTCACCTTCGCCACTACAACTTATCACTTTCGTCACTTCAATTTCTCACCTTCGTCACTACAAAAGTTGAATGCAGGTAAATACTCTGCTTCACTACAACGTTTCGTGCATGTCACTCCAACATTGCACGCTCGCCACACCTTACACAACACACTTTAGGAAATGTCTGTTTTAATGGTTTTCCTGAACTATCGTTCAAGGGTTCGTAGCATCCCAGATGGAAGACGAACAACGGTGAAGCACACTAACACAATCAGCAACACTATCTTCTTGTCAAATCCTTCTGAAGATTTTCCTCCGCTAGGAGATTAGACTC